ATATTTGAGTTCATAATTTGCAGCAGATCCTACTTTAAATAATATAATATTATTTGATAGCGTAAAACATTGTTTTGATAGTTTTTTGGACAAAAAAGTGAACCCTGTCGTACACCTTTGGAAGGCATCACTAAATAGTTCATAGCACAGGCCCTGGGGACCTTTTTCATTTTTTAAAAATATCTCATGGGTCGTGTCTTAGGGAGCTACAAATATAACCCAGTAATGGTTAAATTGCTTTGTGGGCAAAATTCTTTTGTTCCTGTAACAGGTCCTTTGTGACGTCACGTCATTGTTAAGCCACTGTGACGTCAAGTCATGTGAAATGGGGTGTAAGATAGAAATTTCCTACATCCCTTTCTTACCCGAGACACCTCTATCTTACACATGGAAATGAGAGAAATTCTATAACACTCATCTTCTTAGTCTTCAGCGTTACAATATTGATATCACTGTATATTTCGTTTCCTGATGTCATTTATGCTTTCTTGCATTGGTCTCTGATGTCACCTTAACTCAGTTGTGTTGATGTTGATGATAAACTGTCGGACCTCTTCAGTGGTAATGTCAGTGCTGTCTAAGAGTTATATCTTGTATTAAGTGTAATATCTTTACCTACCTAGGGGAGGACAGCTCACACGAGCTATCGTTCTAAAAACATCATCATCACTTTATGAAGTGTAACAAGGGGAGCATCATCTGTTTTGTTATACAAATTTCATGTGTCCTTGATGACGGTGCTGTGGATTCCTTATAGCAAATATATTAATAGTAGGAAAGTGGAGGAGAAACTACTCAACCACTCCACTGCATACAGACAGAAATCGCACTCCTGCATGGGATAAGTTTTTTGAAACTTGGCATTCGGCAAAGCTTCCTGCTAAACTTTAAAAATCTTACCGTGGGGTTGAGATTTTCTCTGGATAACACACAGGAGTGATAGATTCTATTAACCTCAAAGACTATGATCCCATGTCTTTATTGTGACATAAAAATGGATATATTAACTCATTTACCCCTGAAATTTCACAATGAACTATTCCAACCTTTGAAATGGAAGAGTTCAAATGTGTCTTCAGGGGTGAATGAGTTAAATGAGGTAAGACACCTAACTACAACGTACATTAAGGTGAATACATTACGTCTGATGGAGGAGATATCTGGTGGGAGGAGATATTTGTAGGGTGGAGAATGAACTATGACTTTTTTTGTGATTACAGGTAAACGGGAGAGGACCAAACCAGAGTACCAGGAGGACACTAACTGTACGGTGGCGTTCATGTCAGAATGTAGCGCCATGCAGAAGTGCAAGGATGCTTGCAGGTCGATGGGAGCTAGTCAGTACCGTTGGTTCCACGACCACGGCTGCTGTCAGTGTGTAGGCCATACCTGTCTCAACTACGGACTTAACAAACCCCGCTGTTCAAACTGTCCGCCTCCGGACGAGATCGACGATATTGAACAGGAGGAGAAAATGGTCCAGGAGATGAACAGGATTGATGACCAGGTAATGGAAATGGAGGAAGAAATCAACGATGAATTTGATGAATTTGATGATGATGACGATGATGATGGTGATGATGTTGACGATGACGATGAGAATCCAGAGGTTGATTCACAAGGTTGAATGCTGTGAATATGTCACAGAACACAACACAAACATTACATTTTAGAAAAGCGTTTTCATTTTTTTGAAAGTGAAACCATTTAAAGCCAAAGTTATTGTTGATTTTAACAAGAGAGTTATCCTTCTCGTGTAAAGCATTATCTCAAGTAGGCCAAGAACAGCTAGGGTAGGACGTAGAAGCCGTACAATGTAGGCTGTGTTTTACAGATCTCTCTAGTAGGTTATGCTGAGAAGCATATCTGAAGAGAATTATGTTATGTAAACATATGTCATGTAGTAAGTTACAGTGACAAAATTCATTGTATCACTAATTTATCACCTAAAAATGAAACGAAGAAATAGTTCAGTCTGCAATTTCTAGCGTTCGATACTGGCCTGGATGACAAAGGAAAGAAGTAGATTGAAGTGTTATTAATAGATTTGTAGGTTAGTAAGCCAATCAAGCATGCCAGTATTTCACACTGTTGTTATGTCATTAGTGATGTCTTAACTTTATTATTAGAATAATTATGTCATATTATATGCTACCTTACACTTAAGAAATGATTGACCATTTAATAGTCAAATATACTATTTTACAGTGTAGAATTCTTTTGATAAGGAGAATCAATTTGTCAGGGTAAGGTAGCATATATCCTTAAGTTTTGTAGGCCAAGTGGCAGTTGTTTAAACACCATTCTGTATGTTAGTTGTCACATCGTAGCGCACATCATCATTGCACCACAAACACCATCATCTAGTGGTCACAACAGGTACACCACCCTCTTGTGGTTACCACAAATTCACCACCATCTAGTGGTAACCATGCATACAACACCATCTTTTGGTAACCATGGATACACCATCTAGTGGCTACCATAAAAATGCTATCTTATAGTTACACTATAAGATACACCATCACCTTGTGGTAACCAAGCGTGTACACCACCATCTTGTGTGTGGTAACCATGCATACACCATCATCTTGTGGTAACCACGCATACACCATCATCTTTTGGTCATCATACAAACACCATCTAGTTTCCATCACCTAAACACTAACATCTTGTTATCATCGTAGAAGCATCTGTCTTAATTTATAATATATAATCTGATATATCATTGCTGCAGACCCCCCTTTCCCAAATGTCCGTTATTGTGGTACCATAATCTATGTCATTTTAACAAAGCTTTCCTAGTGTGTAGTCCTTTTGGGGAGATGGACACCCTGTGTCGGTCTAGCTAGTTTATCAGAGGTCAAATGACTTCATGGTGAATTCCTGCAATTCGTGTACCTGGTGAATTAAAACACAGAACTTTAACATTTCTTTTGTTACCCTTTGTTTGTAGCAGGTGTTTCACAACTAGTGTGTACATGTATAGTGCGCCTCTTTAGAAATGAATTAGTTCTGTGCACGTTTTTATGATTAATGCCAAAAGTAACAGGAAATTTATGATCAGACCATACAATTACTGGTATTGAATTATTTTTTAGATTATTTGTGTATAATGATACCTCCCTAATTAGAACAGTTTTGTTGATGTCTAGTGGAACCTGTTTAATCTGATTACTTTTGTTCTTAACTCATTCACCCCTGTTCACACATTTGAACTCCTCCAATTCAAAGGTTGGAACAGTTCATCATGACATTTCAGGGGTGAAGGAGTTAAAAGGGGCCCTTACAGATTATGAGATAGACTGGTCCAGAGTATTGTATGTCTTAGTATTGCTATATTTACAGTGGGAACATGACAAGGCTCACTTTGCAGTAGACTGTGCTTTTAAGAAGGTGTTATTATGGTATAGATGTATGAATTTTGTTATTGAACTACCGGCAATTTTGTTTCTCTCCCACCGATAAATTTTGACCCCTACTCTGTAAACTGTAGTGAGTTTGTTACAGAGGCTGATTACTATAGTTTATATATGATATCATTAATTAAAAATTTGTTGTTTTTGGGATGAGATCTCATGTGTATCTCTCCTATACAATGTCATCTTATCACTGCTGTTTTTTGTTGACTTAAAAGTATCAAAGTATTTACCGTGGTATATAGAAGAAGCTGTTGTGGCTTAGAGTTACTTCCCTTGGCAAATTATTCCTCCTTCATTTTGATACTATGCATTTACAAATTAAAGGATAGCAACATTGGTAAAGAGTATGATCAACGTGGGATTAGTCCCAAGTTTAACATCAGGAATGTCAAGAGGGTTTTTACAAATGTTTTCATTCAACCTGACGACACTAGTACTCTTTCTTTACCTTAAATATGTTTTAACTCATTCACCCCTGAAATTTCATAATGAACTATTCCAACCTTTCCACTGGAAGAGTTCAAATGAGTCGTCAGAGGTGAATGAGTTAGATGATCAACGACAGGACGAAAGAACTACTTAACTGTGATGTGAATGAAAAAGTTTGATTGTACTGTTTTGTTTTATTAAAATGTAATCTTGAGTTTGACAAACTGATCAAGGTAACAATAATACTGTATATTCAGGTAAAAAGCATTACAATGACTGTTCAGCTGTAATGAATTATCTATTGTACTTGAGATAAATCAAGGAAAATTACTTTTAATGAGGTTGTTCTTTTTGCTTTTGTATGCAAACAAGGTGCTACGTTAAACAGTTCTTTTGGTTTAAAATTAATGTGTTTTAACACCAGATTTTATATAATTTACCATGCTCTTCCAAAGGAAATGTTTTTGTCCACTTTTTTTATTTTCTTATTTTAAAGATCAAATTTTACAATCTTTATAAAATCAAAGTTATTTGATTACCTGTTGTAATATATGTTGTATATTTACACGGTTGTGCATTTATTTATAAACTTTTATGATGATCAATTAAATTGTACATATATACAAAGGTACGGTCAAAAATGAAAATGGCCCGAATATTTTATGGCCCGAATATTTTATTAAAGATGTTAACAGAGAAATGTCAGAATTCTGTGAAATGTTACGTCCGTATATCTTACGTATATCTTACGTCCGTATATCTTACGTCCGTACGTCCGTATATCTTACACCCTTATTGTCATTTCCTCACAGGACACTTGTTTTGATAACAACCTGTTTTTACACGATTCGTTTTTTTCTCTTGAAAGATATTAATCAGCGTTTTTGTGCCAGTTTATTAAAATGGAATTTTTAAAGGATCTTAATATTTGATTAAATTTTTGTTGCCTGAGACACATGGTATTTGTAATTTTAAATTTACAGGTTGTGTAGTTATTTTCTGATCTGAGTGAATCATGTACATTTTGTAGTTGTGATGATTTAGAACTTTTGCTTAACTTAGACTTTGCTGACTTGTTTCTCTTGATGTGTAAATTATTGCAATATTTGTTTTCATAGGAAAATTGGATGAAGGGAGATAACCCTTTGTCTATTTTCGATTTGATAAAGTTTCAATTTGATATAGACTGTAAAGCTAGAATATAAATGCTGTCATGTTTAGATTTTAATCTTTGTTACAGTATTAATTCTAAGAAAAGCCAAGACAACTTTACCCATCTCCTTCCTTCATGATAAAAGGAATCTAAATTGTCTAAAACGATATTAAAAAAAGGAAAATATCTGGCTTTGCGTTCAGGAGAATAATTTTAAGAATGATATTTGATTTGTTTTTCTTGACAGGACAGCCTCTTCCACAACTCAGCACTGGCTATTATAGAACTTAACTTATTGTTAATGCTAGCTGAGACTAACTACAAAATATCACATTTTCTATCTTCATTCATTTATAATTCTACCTTCGAAATATCATTTGGTAATTTTTCACACAATGAACGATTTAGTCATTAATGAAAATGAGAATGTAGCGAGAAGTTAATCATCAAATCAAAATAAATCCTCAGCATGTAGTGGCTACAACATCTCTCGTGCTTTTGTACGGTGTAAGCCCGCAATACTACGTCTTTATTGTCTCCTGTGTGACTGTCACCAACCTTAGACCAAAGAAATAAACGTCATATAAGCCAGACCTGTTTCTGTTATTTACTTAGCTTCTAGTCTTCATAACTAGCTTGTAAAGTATTTCAGTGTGTTGTATCCATATGTAGCTGATGGTTACATGGCTCAGGACTAGTTAGTACTGATGTCTGGGGTGTCCCTACAGCCTGACTCTCATTACTAGCTAGTACAGACGTCTAGTGTTCTGTATACTGATGTCTGGGGTGTCCCTACAGCCTGACTCTCATTACTAGCTAGTACAGACGTCCAGTGTGTTATATACTGACAGTTGTATGGCTCAGGACTTGTTAGTACTGATTTCTGGGGTGTCCCTACAGCCTGACCCTCATTACTAGCTAGTACAGACGACCAGTGTGTTGTATACTGACAGTAGTTAGTACTAATGTCTCGGGTGTCCCTACAGCCTGTCTCAATACTAGCTAGTACAGACGTCCAGCGTGTTGTATACTGACAGTCATATGGCTGAGGACTAGTTAGTACTAATGTCTCGGGTGTCCCTAATGCCTGTCTCATTACTAGCTAGTACAGATGTCCAGTGTGTTGTATACAGACAGTCATATGGCTCAGGACTAGTTAGTACTAATGTCT